AAGGCCATCCAAGGTGGCTGCAGCTTTAAACCCATCCCAGTCTGTCTGGGCAAAACAGTCCTGCAGGGTGCCTTCAGTCTCTGGGGTCCAAATTTGTTTGGTGACAGGGTTTGTTTGTTTCAGTCTTTGTCTGTAAGCTGGATACAGGAACAAAGAAATGTGGTCCGTGCGTCCGAGGTGGGGGCAGGGTGCGGCCCTGTATGCTCCCCATATGTTATTGTAAACATGATCCAGAGTGTTCTTGCCCCGGGTAGGAATAATCACATGTTGGTAATATTTGGGAAGTACAGTCCGTAGATTGTACTAAAGTTGTTTTTGGTGGCCTGTTTTAATTTTAGTTTTAGTCTAGTCTTTGTGTGAAGCTGTCATTTTAGTTTTTATTAGTTTTAGTCACGTTCATACTCTTTTTAGTCTAGTCAAGTTTCAGTCAACTAAAAGTCTGAGCATTTGTCTTATTTTAGTCAGAATTATCCATGACAATTTTCATCTAGTTTTAGTTGACAAAAACTGACATTTAGTCTAGTTTTAGTTAATGAAAATTGTATTTTAGTCTTTTTAGTAATGCAGTTCTATTTAACCCAGTCAATATAGTGTAAGTACCTAGTAGTATAGACAAGACCAAAAATTTCCTTTGAGCCAAACCCATTTCAAACATCTTATCTTATTATATTATTGTTACCTTATAGACTCAAGAATACATCCAATACACATTTTGTGTGATTTTTGTGGCCGCATTCCTACCAATCTTTTTCCACAACACACTCTGTTTTCTTTTCCACTTCTATGTAATTAAAGTTTTTTCAAATGTCGTTTCTTCTTTTTCTCCCAATGACGAACCCTGGCTGGCCGGCCATCGGTCCCTTTCTCTGTGTCAGACTTAACTTTGTTTGTCGTCTTCTAAATAATGCCATGAGTGGGGCTTAAGGAAGTGACGTCGCCTGCGTCTGCGCAGTGCGGCTTGATGCAGCGAGACACAGTAAACAGAAATACTGCAAAATAATAATAATAACACGACTAAACGAGACGAAATAACGTTAACATTTCGTTTCGTCTTGTTTTGGTAAACAAAAATGAAGACATTTTAGCATAGTTTTTATTTTGTAAACCATATTTTGTCTTGTTTTTTTGTCAACAATATTGCATTATAAATTTCAATAATCAGCGTCACACGACACGCATTTTCGTTGCGTCTCGTCTCATTTTCGTCACGTGATAAAGGTTTGTTGATGACGATATTTAGTCATAATTTTCGTTGACGAAAGCAACACTATAGTGCAAGGATTAAAGTCGCCTGCCATGATAAAAACAGTGTCAGGGTGCACTGTCTCTAATGCGCTGATGACGTCGTGGAGTTTGCTGAGAGCTGCAAAGAGATTAGCTCTTGGGCTAACATACACAGCACTATGCTCTCTTGCTAGATAATAGAACCGGCATTTTAGCAATACAAACTATTTTGGGGAACAGTGCTTATAAACTGTCCGTACATCTCCACACCACAAGTTATTGATAAAAACACACACACACACACAGGGAAAGGTAGAGAGCTGGCTAGATATACTGTGGGTGCAGGAGACCAGGTGGAAAGGTATCAAAGCGCGTAGCATCGGAGGGGGGATACAAACTGTTTTATTATGGTGTGGACAGGAAGAGAAATGGGATAGGAGTGATCCTGAAGGAGGAGCTCATGAGGAATGTTTTAGAGGTGAAAAGAGTGTCAGACAGGGTGATCAGTTTGAAGTTGGAAACTGAAGGGGTAATGTTGATAGTAGTCAGCAGTTATGCTCCACAGGTAGGGTGTGAGTTAGAAGAGAAGGAGAGATTCTGGAGTGAGTTAGATGAGGTGATGGACAGTATTCCCAGAGGGGAGAGAGTGGTGATTGGGGCAGACTTCAATGGGCACATTGGTGAGGGGAACAAAGGTGATGAGGAGGTGATGGGCAGGTTTGGTGTTAAGGGAAGGAACCTAGAAGGACAGATGGTGGTGGACTTTGCTAAGAGGATGGAAATGGCTGTAGTTAACACCTATTTCCAGAAGAGGGAGGAACATAGAGTTACATATAAGAGTGGAGGTAGGAGTACGCAGGTAGACTACATTCTATGTAGACGAGGCAATCTGAGAGAGATTAGTGACTGCAAAGTGGTGGTAGGAGAAAGTGTAGCCAGACAGCATCGGATGGTGGTGTGTAGGATGACT